ATTTCCTGGCTGCCCAGGTACAATTTAAGTTCTTCTCCAATTATTATCGCAAGTTATTTATTTTGATGGATTAGATGTACATGTGTATAGAGATAGAATCTCAATCAAATACAAAACCATGAAGAAGTTAAAAATCATACAAACCAATCTCAACCGTTAAGCCAATCTAACGAATATCTGATTTATAAATATACCAAGTATTTCCTAGAATAAAGCGTTGGTTATATTTAACAAATTTTAATCATCTTACATAATCAAACTATAATAAATTAACGTTGATCATTTCCACAAATATTGGTTTGCGGGTTTACAACATTCAGAAGGTTTGTATTTGACTTGTCATATATGTAGAGAGAGAATATCAAACAAGAATGCTAATTATTTAAGATAATCGAAAAAGGTCAAACCACGTGCAAAATCACATGTGATTTTATATTAACGGTCAAAAAAGGGGTGCAGGCGACTTTGGCATGCGACTTCAGGTCGCAGGACAAAGTCGTGTGAATCACATGTGATTTGGTACGTAATGTCATTGTAAAATCACGTCATTTGGTTGTTTTCTCATTCTCTTAAATATGTATTGTTCTCGTTTGAACTCGACTCTCTCTCTCTCTCTCTCTATATGTATATATATATATAGTTGGGATCATGTGAAACCAGATTGTTTTCTTAAGATCTGTGAGACCACTTAAATAACACTAAACCTTCCGGTAAAAATATTGTGAAGGTAATTATTTTCAAAGTGTTTTTGCTGTGAAGGTTGGGAGTTTTTTATACCTTCACAAATATTTTACTGTGAAGTTTCAAGTGTCATTTAGTAGTCGCATGGGTCTCACGAAAACAAACTGGTCTCACGTGAACCCAACCCTATGTATATAGTGGGATATTCTTTTGAGAACCCATAAAATTGTAATAACCTTGAGAACGTGTGCATCATGTGTTATTTCATATGATGTTTTCATCCAAGACTAGAATTTGGAATACTGATYAACATATACATACTTAACAATGTGTTTGTTTCACATGTATTCGGTTCATAACGTGAAACTTTTTGAAACGCAAAAACAAAAAAAAATGTTTCACATAGTTAACCAAGTACAAATGAAACAAACACACTGCAAAACAAATATATGTTAATCAATACATTAAATATTATGCCTAGACAGGAAAAAAAAAACATATGACAACATATGGTCCACAAGTTTTAAGGTCATCATAATTTTATAGGTTCTCAAATGATTAAGCCATATATATTGTATTTTATATGTGTGTGTGTCAGAGGGATACTAAAACAAACTAAAATATAAATATAAAAACTTAAAAAAGGAAAGTAAAATACAAATACATATGCTTGGTTGGACTTGGTCTCCCTATAATTTTCACATGGGAGTGATGGGGTGTATATTATAATTTGTTACGAGATTTTTTTTCATATTCAGTTCAAATGAGCATCTTTTAATTAAACCAATTAATTAAGTGTGACAGGACAAATACTTAGAATAAATAAAGAAGGTGAGAATCAAGTTTAATCATTAAAAAATAGGATAAATAAAGAAAGGAAAAAAATTAGAAACATTTTTTAAGTAATTCATGATTATTTATCACATTTTATATATTTTTTCACTATTTTCTAGATAAATTTTTTTTATTAAATATCGTATGTGATATCACAATCAATCTATTATTTTTAACCATTTTTCTCTATTTTTTTTATCCACGTTTTGATTCACATTTGATTAGTTACTTATTACATAAGATTCATTTTGTGAGATCGGTGAAATCCATCATAAACCACTAAGTTAAGATAATCAATGAGATGGTTAATGTTATAACTAATGAGTTGCTAATGCATTTTTTAGGAAAAAAATCAAATTTCAATTATATATATATATATAGAGAGAGAGAGAGAGAGAGAGGGTTCATATGAAAATGATATATATTTAAAAAAATAAGAGAATGGTTAAATTACGTACAAAATCACATATGAGTTTATATTAATAGCCAAAAAAGTGTGAGGATGACCCCATAGCCATGTGGCAAGGTTGCATGACAAGATCATGCGAATCACATGTGATTTTGTGCATGATGTTAGTGTAAAATCACATGTGATTTGGTCATTCTTTTATTATCTTAAATATATATCATTTTCATACGAACTCAACTATATATGTGTGTGTGTATATATATATATATATTTTCCTTTCCTCTCTCCTATAAAATGCACAATTAAATATGTACATAAGATGAACATATTGTGAACACAATAAAAACAATTTTAAGAAATTTTTACTATGTCCACATTGTGTTCACAATTGATAGTTTTTTATTTAGTTTTTTTGCTTTATTAGTGTTCATAATATGTGCACATTTAATTACGTATGTATATATAATTATACATATACACCCAAAATATGATTTATCATAATTAATTAAATTAAAACTTAATGTTATTTTGTTATCAAGRGCTATGTTGACATTTCCTTTATATTTAGACATCAATGAGTGTCATTATCCAGAGAAGTTTCCATGTTATGGAACTTGTGTTAATACGGTGGGGAATTACACATGGAAATGTAAAGAAGGGTATTCTGGTGATGCCAAAATTCGAGATGGTTGTCGACGTAAACCGTTCCACCCTCTTGTGTTGTATATAGGTAATTCTTCTATATTTTCATTAATTAACTGTTGGCCAAGATTTGTACGTACTAAATGTGCACTTCAACGTCAAACTCAATCGTATAACAAAAAACAATCTTTGCATATCTTCGCTACTACCTTTGTTGAAGGTAAAACTTGCCTTTTACATACTATTATTTTAATATTTGTTTTTTGAGATTTGGAGAAACACGGTTTAGGAATTTATCCTCCTATTGACTCGCCCAAAACTACGTATCTCTAAATTTCATATAAATTAGACTCGACATCTAAGTAGATTCAAACCATTAATTTTCAATATACATTATAAAACCTCTATTCTTTCCTCAAAAACTTATGTGGAAAACAATTTGATGGTTTATCATATGGTATCAGATCTAGTCAAGAGTTACCACTCTAGAGATTTAACAATCTTGGACAATATATATTCATCTAGCTCTGTCACCCTACTAGCCCCATCTTGAGACTCTAGGACTCCCTATTAATAACCAAATTCATGAGGCAACAACGACTGGCACTTGAGATACAACTAAATCGTACTAGATTGAATTTTCTCTTGGTTTGTGATCATTTTTTTCCCATTTATTGTTATGTCCAATGTTTTCTAAGGCACACCTTTAAACCAAAGATGTCAACTAATGGAAGTTGATGTGCT